GGGGGAGGGGGGTAGTAGTAAAGTCCAGCATGCCACTCGCAGAACTAACACAAAATTTGAGCATTTGATTTGAGCACAATTTTTTCTCTCCCAAACCTGTAGCAATTAATAATGCTGATGACAAAAGCGATGGATCTTGAACACGTAAGGTTGAACAACAGTTTTAGTCACATGGCTGTAGCCTGCTATGAAATTTAAGTGTGACTGTCTTGCAGTAAAAAACCTTGGAGTCTCGCCACAGATCTCAAGAAAAAGGCAAAGACTTTTTAAGTGTTAAACTAACTTAAACAGAGATCACAATTACAACACTTCATTTTAAACAAAACAAGTTGGGAAAAGTTGTAACATACAACAAATACATGTATTTTTCCATTGAAATTGAAATGTTTCATAAATAAAATAGGAAAGTAGGGTGCATCCACTATACACTTAAAGCAAAATCAACAACACAATTGAATCTATTCAGTTATGAGCATAAAAGCTTATATTGTATACAATGTGTAAATAAAACAATCCCTGAAAGTTTCAATAAAACTTTTAAGATAAATATTGCATATAGTGTAAAATAACATAAAATAGAGCGGCACATAATATCATTTTCATCATATAAAAAGCGCATTTACCAACAACAATATAAAACAGCAATTGTGACGACTATCACAGTCCTGAACACAGGAGACCAGAAGAAGAGCAGTGTAAGGAAGCAAGAAATGTCCACTAAAAATAAAAAAACCCACATAAAATCATAAAATAAAATACCCAAACACTGGAGCGGTTCCAAAAAAGAACGTAATAAGAAGCACCCACATAAGGTAAATTTTATAACAAGCAAATCAATAATAATTAGTGTCTGAAACATCGACCTATACAAGCAACATCAACAGAGATTGACAGCAGACATCCAAGATACATTTCGGACATCGTGGTGAAATGAGGCGCTCGTCAAAATAATGAAATTAAAGAAATCAGCATTTTTTGGGCAATTTATCAAAAAAAAATTTTTGGACTAAACACCTCTAAGGTTCATTAAAAAAAACATTTCTAAGTGAATTTTACCGAAAAATGATTTAAGGCACAAAAATATAAATTTGCATTTTCAAATGACTCAAGCTTGGGAAGTTGCCAAATTTTGGCAGCAATTTTCTCGCTAATTTTACCTCTGAAACCAAGCAACCCCCACCTCCTTCAATCGCAAATATCTCGACTTCTATACAAAGTACATGATATTCATTGAAAGCAAGACAAAATAAATAAATAAACAAGCCTTAAAATGATACTAATAACTCCACATGTCCAATAATTGACGAGCGCCTGATTCCCCCACATTGTGACACATTATGGTCGCTTTTCAGGACAAGTGGGCTAACCCAGATTTCGGGGGTTTTCAGAAATCTTGACCTACACCAAAAGTGGGCACCTATAGGAGAAGTTTGATTTCACTGGTGTGTACATTTGTTCGGTTATAGACAAAACTCTCCTTGTCTTTTAAAGAAACAGAACAAGAGTCCAAAAACTTTACCTTCGATTTTCTAAAAACTGCATTTTTCAGGATGGCCCCCTTGTGCTTAAAAGCGACCATAGAAGCTACTGAATTAATCATTGATGAAAAAATTCCCCAAAGATGTACAAATACTGGGAAGACGAAGAAAATGGCTGCACATGATAGTCAAAAGCTTTCACAAACAAAAGACCGTGGCATATTTCTTTTGTCCTGCTAAGTTAACAAAAAAACTGGCTGTCTTATTTTTTTGATGGACGAGTTATCATAATAATGTCAAATAATTATGACAAAAAAGGGAACCAATTCGACTGGATCTGAGAAAATTTAAATCACTAATCGACTGTCTCGGGCACAAACTGTCCAACTCTGGAATTTTCTGAAACACTTTTATTCCTTGAAATAGCTCAACAAGGGGTGACGCATCTTGTACTTGTATCAAAATGTCTAAGCTTTACAACCCATAGAAATGAGAGAAATAGTCCCAAGATCAAATCGTCTATGTCCAAGAAGCTTCCTTGAGTAACGTCACAACACGCCTATGTCGGCAACAAGAAGGCAGAGGAGAATTCTTTGATCTACAGGATTATTCCCCTTTGGAACAGTTTTTTCCATCTCTTGTAAAATTCATGTTTATAGACTAGGATGGTTTGTGGTGATCCCAAAAGAGCCAACTACTGCCTCTCATCTTCGAGACATTGACCCTACCTCCCAGCATGCCATCCACCTGGCATAGCTATTTTGGGCCTCTGTGTAGTGTGAAGCGCACTGAGTATTCTAGAAGTGGAAATTTCAATGCTAAATATTGAAACTGTCAAATCTTGAAGAAAAAAAAACTGGTAAAAAACAACATAAGTTTTTCTCTCCTTTTCCGCAGCTATTTTAATATTCTTCTTCGCAGCCCTCTATAATTTTCATGCCATGGTCTTAACATAATTTCTAAAATCTTTCAGCAATGTCAGAGCATCACAAGCTTGTTCATGTCAAAGCTTAACAGCTGGTGTCTGCAGGTGTACACTGACCACAGCATGAGAAAGCCACAACTTGTCAGCTCAAGAATTAAAAATGGCATTTTGGAAGACTCAGGGAATGGCCACAATTACTGGAGAACGCTGCATGGTTCAGGAAGTAAGAAGAAGCCATGAGTAGGCAAGGCCAGATGATGAAATGAACAACTTTATGAAAGTTATCGCCATACCTGGGCAAGAAGGAAGAGAAAAATCTGCCCCTGTTGTTAACAGAGGCATTCGCTGACAAACAACACCAAGTAAGGATACGAGGTAATTCCCACAGTTTGCTTTGTAGCAAGAGAAATCACGTCAGGAAAGGTGTTCAACATTCAGACTGATGGCCTTGTCAGAGAAGAGCATGAAGTTTTCAAATGCCTGACATCCAGTAAGAACATGAAAGTGAAGGCCATGTTTTGTGGTACTTGATACGTCTTACTTCAACACACCAGATTACGATCAACTTCATGGTGACTCTCCCTCGTACCCTGAGATTAGTGGAACATTAATCCAAATATTTTGAACAGATTTTGGTGATATCTTAACAACCTTTTTCTCCTCAGCAGCTGAATATTGAACTTTAAAAAATGCCAACATAGATTCAAAGCATATAACTTCAAAGCTGATAAGACTTTCTTTCTAAACTGCACTATGACATGAAAAAAACAAATGTGTTGAGTAGTCCAAAAGATAATACTTTAAAAAAAAAACATTCCCCATCGTAAAAATTGATCTTGACAAAACATTATGGCCATTCACTATGGTAATGGCACAAAAAAACAATGAACACCTTCTAAGAAAACATTGCTATAAACTTTTCATGAAATATTGTGAACAACATCATAAGTACAACAAATCATGCTCAGAGTATGAAACCTTAATAAAAACTAAATTTTCTCCATCAGGTGAAAATACCAACAACCAACAGCTGAGTAGTGCAAAAAAAGGATCAGACTCCATAAAGACACTTATCACAGTACACTGAGGAAAGAAGCAAGGCAACTTGCAACACTTTAAAAACAAAATACAAGCATGAAACACTGATAGAGGGAATTGTGGTACAAGATAAAAGTCAACTTGTAGGTTATGCCTAGTCAGAGTACGGCAATACCTTATTTGCTGTCCTTTTGTTTCAAGAAAAACTTTTGAGTACAAGTCTTTTAATAATAGAATAATAATAATAGATAGCATTTTTATAGCGCGAATCCCCGCTCAACAGCAAGCTCTATGCGCTTCACAATCTATATTATTACCCCAGCAGATCTGAGAGCATTCTGAAACTTCCTGGTAAGCATACAGTGCAAGCAGCCATTTATAGGCGCTAAAACACTAACATATTAACAAAATCTTTCTCAGTCTATGGCCAGGTAGCCTACCCATTTCCACCTGGGTGAAGTGAAGAAAATTTGTGTAAAGTGCCTTTCCCCAAGAACCCCCGACCCCGCAACCTCATGATTACAAGTCCGGTAGCCTAAACACTAGGCCACTGACGCCACTCAGGAGGTTATTTAAAACACAGCATTTCCAACTGGATTCAAACTCACATTACTATTACCCACATCAATGTAAAGTGTTTTACCACCTTATCTTTGTGCTCAAAGAGAACAGTTCTTCTTTTCCAGGTACACCAGTTACTATACACAACTAAACATCTTCTATTACACTGGCAAGCTTTGGAGAACACAGTATTCTTTGTAATCTTTATTCCATAGTCTTCATAAACACTGATTAGCGCAGCTCTAAATAAATCCCAATGCTCTTTGTGTTATGAACAGCTTAATCTCACACTAGTCACACAGTTCTAAAAGTTACATTTTTTAATAACATAAAATAACATTTAAGATGCCATCATGACTTTAAAAATATGTCTTACATTTGCACTTTCACACACCACTCCTCGGGCATGGCAATCGAGTAACCCAGCTTAAGCCAACACCTTACTGAATTTTTTTAATAGGGCATAGTTGTGCAACACCACATAAGAGTCGCATCTTAAACTACCATGTCACAGGAAGGACCAAACTGATAATTTTAACACAGTCTCCAAATAACTCATTGATCCTCCAGTATCTCTTTCTTTAGCAAACAGTCAAAGTGGTCTCATGGTCCAGCTGATTCGCAGGAGACCAAAATTTTGCCAGACCAACGTCTAACTAAGCACAGTATTCTTGGGAATAGGACTTTGTTTGATCTTTTTCTCACTTGGCTCTAGTCTAAAATAAACACTGTGCAGATATCCCTGTGAACTTGAAGGAGTAAATTTTATCTGCAACAGACTAGCATTCTGTCCAGCACTGAGACTTGGTATCATCTGTTCAGCTAAACACTATAGCAACAGAAACAAGCTCATGTTCTAAAGGCTTCAAAGACCTTATTGTACTGAACAACATAGGCCTACTGTGTCATATTTCGTCACTTGCGACATCAAATTTAAAACAAACAAAAAACAGTAGGGCCTACTATTTGCTCTGACAAGTGACTCGAGACTGTAAAACAAATTTTGTTCAGCTCAGAGACCCTTCAGGCCTTGCTGAGGAGCCCACTCCGTTCTTTGAACATTCTGCAACTCTGTGTAATCTAGTTAGGGGGAGTAAAAAAGTTAGAGGGATGCGGGAAAGGTTAGGGTGTCCAGGTGTCCACAAAAACATGGAGAACAAGATCAACAGACTAGGCAGGTGTCATGGCAACGGACACCATGGTTTCATCAGAGGCAGATTTGTGCACCCTGCGCAGTGCTCTGTTCTGAGCTTCTCGTCTCAGTGCGTTGTTGAGTTTTTCCGATCCCCACATCCACAGGCCAGAGGGCAGCATCCACGCCAACCACAACTGAGAAGAGATGCAGAGAAAAAGTAGAGGAAGGGGAAGTGAGTAATTGCATTTGTCCATGCTCATGAAGAAATAGAGGAAGGGGATTCGTCCATGCTCATGTATGGTATCGGGAGTGTTGGAGGAAGGAATAAGCAAAACCTCCGCTTCATGAAAAGTTTGTCAAAGAAAATCACTAAGATAATCACTAAGCAGTGTTTTTTTAGTGAGGTGACGCGTTCTTTTCCCCAACTTGCGAAAAACAATCCCTCTTTAAGTATGAATTGTGACCCAGTTTGAAGGAATTCCAAGCAAGAGCTAGATGCCTGTCATCATTCATACTGCAGTGTCTGAAATTTTATTTCCAAGACACAAAAATTTTATTAAATTTAATACATATGAGAAGCGTGCTGACAAAATGATTTACTTTTCTGATTCGAGCCCTATGGAAATAAATACAACACGCTTATGGCGAAGTTTTTACAATTTATAAGTATGAAATTATAAAGGACATGTTATCTCTTTTTATCCTAGCCGTACCCCCACGGACTCTGTACCAGTCCTGGGGCCGCCGCGCCGTATGTGTCGGAAGTCAGTGCGTATAGTTCAAAGTGCTATATTTCTTACATTTTCTCTACGATTTTAAGGAAATTTGGCATTTATATTAGAAATTGAATGTAGTTTTTGTAAATGCATGTGGTTAGGATATACACCAATAGCACAAAGTAGATTTTGAGGTGTATTCCACCCTCGAACTTGACCCTGATTGCCGCGCCCACGACGTCTCACTGGATTTTATAGATCTAGATCTAGCCCTACCCATCGAGCACGTATTCCAGTACAGACCCCTTCACCATCATCTGAATCGCTATTAGATGAGTCTAAGTCCTGCTTCTTATCATCCACAACGGAATTTGTGGCACTTATTTCAGAGTCACTTTCATCAAATTAGTATCATTCCCCCTCACAACCCAGCGCCACTTCAAAAAGTACTTCGTCGGTCGTGAATGTGCGTTTTTGAGACATCTTTCAAGCTTCTACACCCATCAAAAACAAAGAAACCACTGTTCATTGGAAAATTAAAATATTCAGACAGAGCTAGCATCGCCGTATTTGCGTATTTTGGTAATTACAAGCAGAACTAGCTTCTTTGACGTGACCGTTTCGCTGTTACGAGTATACTCGTAGCCCGGAATGGTCCTCGTTACGAGTATACTCGTAGCCCGGATAAAAAGAGATACCTAAAGAATATGGCATCAATAGAAAATCTCCATTTGTGGATTGCGAGAAGCAACTCATTTTTCAGCACGTCTCACATATATTTAAAAAACACCTACATTTTTTTTTAAAGCGAAAAAATAAAATCAACAACTTGGGTCAATAACATGAACCCACCTGGAGGGTATGATAGAAATATCCTGTGGTGAGGCTTGCCCTGCCAAGAGTGAGTATAGCATTGCTTGCGTACTGCTTGGCTGATGGAAAGAATCCACGGGAGCGGGTCAAAGTGTCGCTGAAGCCAGTCATCCTCGTATTCACATAGAAGGGCATGAGGCACTGGAAAGTCAGGCCCGAGTGACGGTATTCATAAGCCACACCCTGGATGAAGTAGTCAAGGTACCGCTGCCAGGAAGAAATAAAAGTTGCTTTTTATTTTAAGTGGGTAAGAAAACCATGGCAAACATAATAAAAGTGAGTTGAGCATTCAGGAAAGCATCCAACTACACAGAATGAACTCTATTACTCTGTCAGTCTCCTGGAAAAATAAATAATTTGACTCTTGAATCTGTTTCAGTATAATCTATATAATATAATATATATATATATATATATATATATATATATATATATATTGGTGGCCGGATCTTCATGTCATTTTTCAAAAGAATCCACACACTCCTCAGATCTTAGGATTTAAACAAAGATAGCATTCAAAATTTCTAACTATATAACAGAACCCGATTTTCATGATTTTTTTAACAAAAGATTTTCATCAAATTGAAAATTTCTTATCGCTATTTATTGTTACAAAATACTCTGGAATGGAGCCATTGGTTTCTTATTCAACTTTTAAAAAATTTGTTCACTCTTAGTTCATAGCTGCATAGATAAAAGCAAATGAGAATCCCCATAGCATTTCTGACTCATTGCTGACATTTCCTAACATTATAAAATATGAGACATCTATTTTTTCAAGAGATTACAAGTCCAGTGTATGTGTGTTTATTATGAATATTCCATCTTAAAATCTATGAAAGGTGATTCCAGTGTACCCAATAATTCGTACTTGAAGTTTGATTAATCAGTAATCAAGATCACCAAAGATGAAAAAAAAAACCCAGATCAAATATCCAAAAGAACAGCATACTGACATTCAAAAGTTTTAAACATCTGGACTCAGCTATAATTAAGTCAGGGATGACAAAGTCATCATCCTGTTTCATACGTGCTCACCTTGGTGGCAGAGTAGACGGTCATCTGAGGCGTGATCTGTGTGGAGGAGCCAGCCGAGACGACAACCAGGCCACCTCGCCCTTGCTTGACCATACCAGGGAGGAGCATGTGCGTCATCTGGGGGGTGCAGAGCCCTTTACTTCTTTGACAACATTTTTGTTTTTTTTAATGTAAGTGTTTTACACCCCCAACAACACATTTTAGAAGATGTAGGGGTCAGGCTTCAACCTTGCCCATCAGGGCCATTCCAGGCAGAGAGGGATACAATGTCTCACCAGAATGACAGAGATCACCATCATCATCATTGCCTTTTTTACCCTGGATCAGAATATAGGCCACGAACAAACACTTTCCAACTTTCCCTAAAAGAGACAGAGATACTCTGTAAAAAATTTTCTCACACATGAATTGAACTCAGCTAGTGTGCCAGTGACTGCAAAGCACCTAATCACTACACCACAGATGCCGGTTTTGAGAACAATCCTTGGAGAAGATTTCTGTGCTTTTCAAAAAGTGTGAAGGGCTGCCTGTGTTTTCTTCAGATGTGAGTTATTATATAATCTTTTAATAATAGATGTGCATGTCTATAGCAGCATTATTTTCTTTTTTTACGAGAGTGAGAAAGATTAAAAAACAAAGAGAATGTAAATGAGACAGGAAGCGTGAAGAAAACAGACTGAAAAAAAGACAGGCAAATAGAAAGTAACTCAATTTCAGTCTAAAGAAGGCTTTAATTAGCCAGCCCTTCAGGATCCTGACAAATCTCTTCCTGGTAAAAGGATCAAGATAATGATGATTAAGGAAGAGGGGCTACACCTGGGGGCTATCTCATTTATTTGTGGATCAAATTTTACTGAATTTCCCATATATTTCATGAATAGTCGAAAGTTTTCAAATCTGCAATTAAATTTTATAAAAAAGTTTTGTTGCTATGGATTTTGCTGACATGTTTCATACAGTTAATAGCTCAATTATTTTCCATGGAAATAGGTTGTCATTTTTCAAGTATGTTAGCAAACAATAGTTCTACAAATGGTCTGTTGAATTTTTCCTAAAGGAATTAGAAAATGTTTAATTCATTTTTTCTTGGGGTAATAGTCAAGGTTGCAAAAAATCAATGAAAGTCCACAGTACAAACATCACCAACAAAAATCTATTCCAAATTTGAAAAATTCAACAAATAATTTTATAGTTTTATGTCTTCTCTTCATTCTGTGAAAATTTCATGAAGAGTGGATGAAAAAATTGTGGAGTTTTTATTAACTGTAAAAGCCTAAACAAGCCTTGGGGGTGCATTTAAAACTAAACTGTGCAGTCGTCCAATCACATTGAATTCAGCATGGTCTTAACATAATCAGAGAGAGAATAAAATATATAACTTGACCTCTACCGCCAGCTTACAGACAGAAACAGATCCCTTAACTTACCCTTTCACGATAACCCTGCTGCTCTATGGTAAAACTGAAACTCTGATCTTCATCTGATGCACACCAAGATAGCGAGCAGGTGCAGGACGCAAGTACATTGTGTGAATGCACATGTTGAGTGTCTCAATGCATGTGTGTGCATTTATGAGTATGTTGAGCGTCTGTGTGTGCATGCGTATATTTGAGCACACACAAATGGGAGTGTCCATAACTGCATGAGCAGCTATTACCAGACTCTGACTACTAGAGCACTCAACAATCATTACGAGAAAACATCTTTGGCTCACCATTGTGGCTGCCCCAATGTTGACATATATGAGCCTCCACAAATCTTCCCGAGAGATGCTCAGCAACACATCAGGGCAACGGTAGCTCACTCCGACATTGTTCACTGGAGAAAGAAAACAATTATTATCTATCCTGATACTTGTGACCTTAAGAGATTTGCAGCTCTTCTAGAGCTGTTTGTAACAAGCCCATTATTATGCCCAGAAACAAAAAGTCTAACAAAACAATAAATTTTTATAATGGTGTCACTGGAATCCCCAGCCAAATTTCTATTGATAAAGAGGTACGGCGGACATATTTTGGATCTATATCTCCTCGATTTAGGGAAGGAAGCAGCAGGCAGAGCTGGTCCGCATTCAAACTTCCCATGACCAGCACACTGCATCACAAACCAACTAAAATTGAAATAAACAGCACTCAATAAAACCTTCTTTTGAACTCTTCAATTGAGGGTGGAAAAACCAAGGACCTGTCCAGACTGTGAGCCCTGAACTTCAGCCAAATAACAATTTCCACAACAATAATAATTAAAACCATCAAGAACACTTATAGCACAAAATTGTCTACATTCCACTGGCAGAAAATGCAAAAAGATCAGCTAAGAACTAACAACTTTTAGCCCCTGCTTTTCTTTTTCTAGTTCAAAAAGATGTCTATTTTCACTTTCCCCAACTCCCTTGATGCAGCTATAAATAAAGACGTAGAATGAAAATTGCACCAGTTGTATCCAAAATTGTAAAAGAGATGAACACATAAACACACTACACAGAGCATGGATGAACGGGTCTGTGTGTAAGCTTTTAGGTACAAGTAAATACTCTTCTGAGCACAAGAACGCATGTTTCAGCACTTCTGTGTGTATATTATAGGAAGGCAATAAACTTATAAATTTGTCATGAGTATAAAAATATGGCCTGAGTGAGAGAAAGAGGCAGGCCACAAATAATTATACAGGGAGCAACATTTAATCACTCTGTTACAATAAGACTGACATGTAAAAATAAAAGTCAAAAAATTAACTTACGAAGCTGTAGTACAAAAGACAGTCCTTGATTAAATTGAAACTGACACAATAACCAACTTACCTAAAAGGCCAATATCCTTATCCTCAAGAACTTCCCAGATACGGTTATACACTTCAGTTTGATCAGCTGAGGCAAAATCCACGACAATGTATTCCACTTTCACAGCAAATCTGCCCTCTGAATTAAATAGAAGTAAAAAATTCAATCATGCAGAACTAGAAGAATAATAAAGTACCTAATGGATTTTTTTCCTTTCACTCAGTAAGAAGTTATCTCATTCATTTTATCAAGAAAAAGTATTGGCATCATTACAAAGGCAGCATCATTGATATATATGAGTTATTCATTACATTTCTGCAATTATGACCAAGGAGAAAAAGATTTAATACCTAGTAGCACCTGTGTACTCCTCAACCTGCGTTCATTTTCACTAATCAATACCACATTGAGACCTCGCCGCGCCAGTTCATATGCATATGCCTGACCGATTCCTTCACTGCTACCAGTCACCACTGAAAAAGAAAGAAAAATAATTCTTTCAATAACACTTTTATAGAGACATGCACAGCAGAATTTCTTAATTTTGAACCTCCTGCACAAGCCACTGGAGATTTTACGAATTTTTTTCAGGCCCCTTAATTAACCTAGAAGACTCAAACACATACCCCTCTGTACAAGCTACCTTTAATACCCTACAGCACACCCAGAGATGTCCCACAGTCTTCCCACTTTGACCTGATCCCCTAGCACTAGGACCCGAACTATCACTACTATCAGGGCGATATCATAATGCAAAACTGTGCTTCCACATCACAAAAGACCAGTGACACATATGATAAAGGCCTTGTTCCATGATAGTTTGATTCCGTATTAGGTATATATATATATTTTACAGGTAAATACACATACGAGATAGAATACAGATCCCTCACAATGTCCAGAAATCAGTTCCATGCAATATATAATATGTACGTAACGTGTAAATAGTTTTTAACATACGGATCACTATGTGAATTTTGACGAGTACACACGTAACATAGCTTGACGAGAGTGCTCTCACCCGCCCGTCCCACCATGTGTTGGCAGTCCAATTTTAGCGGCACGCGACTCGGCGATTTTGAAAAAAACCTGTCGCGTATAGTGGCTTATTATACATTGTTTGTATCTTGTAGAGCAGAGCTTGCTAGCAGAGCAGTCAGTTGTGTTCAAAATGAAGTTTTTAAATGAGCATTTGATTTAGCTGGTTAGGGAAACCCAGTATTTGTATGATGCATCTATTCCTTGCGAGTAGCGGGACCCACGAATCCTAGAACGGTAGCATATTTCCATTGCTGCTGGGGACATTTTAAAATATTCATGATACTTTTAATTACATCCAATTCTAGTTCTTTTACTTGATGATAGTGGACACCCAAGTCTTCTCTGTTTTATAATATATATGGTGGAGCCAGCATCTACGATGCCTTTAACTTTCATTTAATTCCCTCATTGTAAAAACACAAACTAGCAAAACATCCTGTTGCTTTGTCTGTTCAGTCAGGTCATGGAAACAAGAAATACATCATAACGAAGATATCATGTGCATAATACGTACGAAACGTACGTGTAAAAAATGTATCATGGAACTGGACCTTTATGGTGAAGTGTTTGAAAGGATTTAGAGACAGTGTCAGTAATCTTTTTTAACTTATTTCTTCAACGTGAAAACCATAATGAGGATTATTTTTTTAATCACAAATAAAAGAACATAGAAAAACCTAATACAGCAGTCTCCACCTAACCTAAATGCACGCCATACAAAAGCACGCTCCACTCAAACGCACGCTTTTGTCATATGACGGGTTTTTAAAATATAATTTAGACGTACAAACGCACGGTCGTGCATTCTCTCCAAACGCACGCTCTGATCCACAAAACACGCCAACAGTTAAAGCTTGACAAAGGAAAATACCTTGAACTTGGAAACCAGTTATTTTTTTAGACTGCCCCTCACGCCGAACAAAGAGAGTGGTGGACAGCGTTTTCACACCCAACTTTCCACAGACAGTACATGATAGGTCTAGGACTGGTCAGTGAAATGTTCGGGGGTAGAGGGACTGATGTTTTTTTATTGGTCACTGAAAATGAATCTTTGAGAGAAGATTTCTCACTGGTGTTTGGGAGACTGCGTCTGTTTAGTTAGACCTAGGATGCACACCACACTTGAATGCTAGATATAGGCCTCTCTATACGATAAAAGATTAGTCAAGTAATCCTGATCAGCTGCGCTCAAGAACTTATTTTATAAGCGTACTTGTTCAACGAATCACAAGAGATGTTTCTCTGAATGTTGAGATCTATGATTCTGATGTTGTCCATGAATTTATGGTCAGGAGTGGTCACTTGGAAAACCACGTGGCTGGGTCGTCGTTTCTATGACCATCACCAACTGTTTCCTCTTCGGCTATCTGTTCCCAACATTTTATGATATCATTACATCTGTATCACTGCCCCCCACCCATTTAGCGCGCCTTCATATTCTTAGATCAACCGCAATTGGGGAATTCTTCACAAAACAGTCACGAGTCGTCACATTATTGGCCAGTGACCACAACCTCCAAGGGAGGTCACTAGAATATCAAGGAATTGCGATGACGATGACGGTGTCCCTTTCTCCCTTTGCACAGGTTCATAAAAATGCACGCTCCATAAAGAGCCCTCCCCAGCATCATGTGTTTAGGCGGAGACTACTGTACAGGGTGCCCATTATGGATGGGATCGGCGGGTTGGTCCGATCGCCCGACTCGGTCGCCTCAAAAACAAACTTGTCTGTTTTCAGTTTCAGGCCACAAAGTCGGACGATCCAGCAGTAATGGGCACCCCATATTCATTTTAAACTCTAAGGTAATTTGAAAGACTTTGATGAAGTTTTTGTGACAATTCTCAATCTTTTGAGGCGATTGGATCATCAATTCCAAATGTTTTAAATTATCAATATTATCATTTATCCCTAAATATATACTAAATGAACAGGCTACAAGTGTAAGTTACCGGGTGATTTTGTAGTTTCGTTCGTCAAAGTCCAAAGCTGAACGCTAGTCGAGACCCTGAATTGCCAGGTAATCCTTGAGGAGTGAACTAAGCGTAAGACTGGAAGGAAACACTATTAAAAGCCAGAAAATCAAAATTCAAGCAAAGAATGGCGCTTTTTCTGCAGCTCCAACCCCCCAACTATTATTCGCTGGTGTGGGCCCCAAGAGTCAAGAGTAGGGGGGTTGCCCCCTGACCTAATAAAAAATACGCAGTGGCTATTTTTACGGCGAGCCGTAAAGATAGCCTCCCAGGCTATTTTTACAGCGAGCTGCCCAGGCTATTTTTACGGCGTGCCGTAAAGATAGCCTCCCACTGAGTCCCAGACTATTTTTACGGCGATCCTCGAAAAGCGACCCTACTCCGCCTCTCATGTACGCGACATGCCTCAATGTATTAGATCTAGGCCTATAGGAGGGGCCGTTCAAAATATAAACTTACACCTCAGAGGGGAAAGGGTGTCTTTGGCTTCTGTAAGAAAAGTGTAAGAT